AGCTGACCTTCAGGAACTGCCCTTTCACCGACCGTTGAGATCTTTTTTGCCATTCTAGAAAAGTTCCAGAAACAGTGCAGCCTCCAGACGAGCACAACGGAAGCCGCGGCCCCTGCAAGTTCCCTAGGCGACCCGTGTTCCCGCCACCAACCGCTGGAGAAACCTGCATTTCCAAGTTTATCTTTCACTAGCTAGAGGGTAAAACCTTTCAACTGAGCTGATAAAGCCATTTCTCCAAATGTAAAGGGCCTGGAGCCCAAGCCTCCTCTCTGCGACCCTGAGGGGGCTCAATCAAAATAAACCATCCCGTGTTTTCTACAGGTCTAAATCCGCCAGCAATTTAAAACTAAAGCACAGTCCTCTGCCTTCCAAATTAATCTGCATATAATAGTTTACCCAGAGTAAAAGGTCTTTAGTGGTGACAGGTAATTTGAAATTTTAATCCCGGCCATCATTGACAACAATAATAAAAACACTATTTTTTTTTTAAATACAAAAGGAAGTCTTAGCCTGTAAAATATTAACGCAAGGGCTGGGAGTAACCCGCGGCCAGGAGGGGAACCGGTTCAGTATCCTAGGCCTCTTCTCAGTTACTTCATCTCTTAAGTTTGACTTTGATCTGGAAGGAGCAAACACAAACTGTTTGCAGGCATTTAGAGGCCGTGATTTATTTGCAATCAATATTCTTTTTATCATCAGTAGTAAAACACAGCAAGTCAAATTATCCCATCAGGTTTTTTGGTAAATAACATTTTATCTTTCTAACAACCTCATTAGGCCTCATTATTACCATAAATTGCCCAGACAGACATTCAAATACAATTTTATCTTTTGACTTCCAAACACCCAATTATAATGGCTTGGAAACCTAGGCCTAGAATCAGGGTTTGGGCTTGAGTTTACTCTCTAAGAACCAGCGGGAGAGCTGGAGGAAACACACACCTTTTGGGTGGGAATAATTTTTACATATTATCCTTCTAGAGGGGAAAAACAACTTAGAACAGCGAACATCTCCCTTTCCCAGCTCTCCACAAAGGGTGCAGGTCCTCACACTGAAGCTCCCTCCCTCCCCCGCAAACGCAGGCAGGGTTCCCAAATGGCACACAACTGCATTCGCAATTTCTGTAAAAAATGTTCATCCTCTATGTAAAAATAGTCGAGTTGCAATGCTAGCAAAGGGAGCTCCGGACTCTTGAGAAAGTTGTGAAGACCAGAAGATTTCCTGGACTAATTAGTTTGGTGACTGAGGCCGCAGAGAAAAGGTTTCTGCGGCCAGATTTCGTTTTTACCCAGTCGTTGCAAAATGTACTTTGTGCTTTTCTAATTATTTTGGTTGTAATTGTAAAGAAGACATTTCAGCCTCGTCTCCACTGGGAATTCTTTTTGAAAGGACACCTTGTAAATCTCTCAACGCGTTCCGGCCTCCCCGCCGCCTGAACAAAATGGGGGCTGATCTTTTTCGATAGTAAGAGACCTGAAAGGCAGCCCGGCCGCTTTCTTTCGAAACTACAAGAAAAGTTACAGGGAAACCCGCTCTTTGCTTGTGCACACTTGACGGGTATTTACTCCCCGCTTCTCCTTTGGGGAGCGGGGAGATATCGGGGGTGCCTGGAAATTGCTTTATCCCGCGGACAGCGACCCAGGAGGGGGCTGCCTCCCAGGGCGCTGCGCCCGCAGCACAATTCACCAAACGTCCGAAGTTTAAGCACCGACCTTGCAGTCAGACCAAGGAAAATGGATCATTCGGACCGGCAGACAGGCCAATGTCCCTGCGTAGAATTAAGTGTGCAGCCGCCTCCCCCCACATCTAACACCCACTGGGACGGGAGACTAAGAGGACACCATTTATTTTAAACCAAAGGACACTGTTTTCTTTAATCCTCAATTATGTAACGAAGGAAGAAAAGTGCTTTTCTTTCGGTGCAAATGAAATGAAAACTTTGGCAACTTACAAAAGTAAAATCAAACACCGTTTCAGACACCAAAACATTATTGCAACTTAATTTTTGTTTAAACTCAAATTCGCACACACGCCATAGAGAGAGCTCTCCATCCCTTGGACCCTATTGTTAACATTATTTTGATTGACTCTACTAGGCTTAAAAGGGGTCTGTCTGGCAAACTCAGATACAACTATCTCGGAGCTGCTAAAGAGGGAGAAAATCAAGTTTTCCAGACTCGGTTCGAAAACTAAAGAGGCCGCGCTAGCGGGACCCGCGGCCAGGAAGAGAAGTCCTGCTAAGCTACGCCGGGCCGAGCTGCAGGAACCCCGTGGGCCTG